CCCGTTTCCCCCCAGGCTCCATCGACTCCTCGGTGCGCTGCTGGGACTGCCGCTCCCGCCGCCCCGACCCCGTGCAGGTGCTGGACGAGGCCAAGGACGGCATCTCCAGCGTGAAGCTCTCAGCCCACGAGATCCTGACGGGGTGAGCCCGAGCCCCCCAGCACCAGGGGGCTCCCCAAATTTCGGGGGGGACACCCCCTAAACCTCTCTCCCCATCTCCCCGCAGCTCGGTGGACGGGCGGGTCCGGCGTTACGACCTCCGCGCGGGGCAGCTCTGCTCCGACTACCTGGGCAGTGAGTGGGGATTGAGGGGGGGACTCCCCAAAACTTGTGGGGGGCTCGGTGGGACCCCCCAAACTCCCCCCGGTGTGCCCCCAGGCCCCGTCACCAGCGTGTGCTTCAGCAAGGACGGGCAGTGCGTGCTGGCCGCCAGCCTGGACTCCACGCTGCGGCTGCTGGACAAGGACACCGGGGAGCTGCTGGGCGAGTACGGGACCCCCAAAAAATCCCAAAAAAATCCCAAAAAAAACCCCAAAAAATCCCCAAAATATCCCCAAAAAAACCCCAAAAAATCCCCAAAAAATCCCCAAAAAATCCCCAGATCCCCGCGCTCTGGGGGGGCTTTGGGGCTGCTGGGCGAGTACGGGACCCCCAAAAAATCCCCAAAATATTCCCAAAAAAACCCCAAAAAAATCCCCAAAAAATCCCCAAAAATCCCCAAAAAATCCCCAAAAAATCCCCAGATCCCCGCGCTCTGGGGGGGGTTGGGGCTGCTGGGCGAGTACGGGACCCCCAAACCCCCAAAAAATCCCCAAAAAATCCCCAAAAAATCCCCAAAAAATCCCCAAAAAATCCCCAAAAAAACCCCAAAAAAATCCCCAAAAAATCCCCGACTCCCTGCGCTCTGGGGGTGTTTTGGAGCTGCTGGGCGAGTACGGGACCCCCAAACCCCCAAACCCCCAGATCCCCGCGCTCTGGGGGGTTTTGGGGCTGCTGGGTGAGTACGGGACCCCCAAACCCCCAGATCCCCGCGCTCGGGGGGGTTTTGGGGCTGCTGGGCGAGTACGGGACCCCCAAACCCCCAAAAAATCCCCAAAAAATCCCCAAAAAATCCCCAAAAAATCCCCAAAAAATCCCCGACTCCCTGCGCTCTGGGGGGGTTTTGGAGCTGCTGGGTGAGTACGGGACCCCCAGACCCCCAAACCCCCAGATCCCCGCGCTCTGGGGGGTTTTGGGGCTGCTGGGCGAGTACGGGACCCCCAGATCCCCAGATCCCCGCGCTCTGGGGGGTTTTGGGGCTGCTGGGCGAGTACGGGACCCCCAAACCCCCAGATCCCCGCGCTCTGGGGGGTTTTGGGGCTGCTGGGTGAGTACGGGACCCCCAAACCCCCAGATCCCCGCACTCTGGGGGGGTTTTGGGGCTGCTGGGCGAGTACGGGACCCCCAAACCCCCAGATCCCCGCACTCTGGGGGGGTTTGGAGCTGCTGGGTGAGTACGGGACCCCCAAACCCCCAGATCCCCGCACTCTGGGGGGGTTTGGAGCTGCTGGGTGAGTACGGGACCCCCAAACCCCCAGATCCCCGCGCTCGGGGGGGGTTTGGAGCTGCTGGGTGAGTACAGGACCCCCAAACCCCCAAACCCCCAAACCCCCAGATCCCCACGCTCTGGGGGGTTTTGGAGCTGCTGGGTGAGTACGGGACCCCCAGACCCCCAAACCCCCAGATCCCCACGCTCTGGGGGGTTTTGGGGCTGCTGGGTGAGTACGGGACCCCCA